TCCTCGTAGACTGAATGTTTGGTTCTTAGGAGCAGGAATATGTCCAGTGTACCTGAATCTTAGTTTCCCGGCCTGATTGACCACAACTACTGCTCTATCTTTACAGTCAGACACACAGATATCCAGGTTCCTGTTCTCAGTAATATATATGTGAAAACCCCAAAATGAAAAGAAAGGTTTGCCTTTATCATCAAACTGAATGGTTTGTTTCGGAGTGGAGCCTGAATAACGGACAACTTTTGTTTGTCTGTACACATCATTCTCCATGATAACCAGCAGATCATCCAATGTAGTACTACAGACAGCACGGGGTTTCCAGTTCTGTAGTCTGATCACCTCTTCTATCTTCTCATTTTTCACAATGTTCACAGTTCTGTCTCTGAATTCAGTATAAACTAGATCTCCACTTTTTGCCACTGCTATGTCGTTTGGATTTTTTCTTGACTTGGTTGTGATTGACTTGAGTAGTGATCCCTGATTGATGGTGTAGAGTTTCATGGTGTTGTCATTTCCACATGTCCAGATTTCTTCATCACTCAGACAGGCCACATTGAGAAGGTAACTGCTATACCCAGTGTCTATGGTGGTGACAGTCTCTGCTTCATCAAGCACCTGTTTGACTGAAGGAGAGGATCCAGCTTCTGGTGATTTGTGATGTGTTTCTTTCATGCTGTAGCCATTCTTTTCTATAGATGGGGAAGTTAATGATAAAGCTCCAAACAGCTTACTAAGTTGCTCTCCATTGATTCTTCCTTGAGTGAATGAGGGTGAGGAGAAAATAATTGTATGTGGTAGCTGTTTATATTTATCTACATTGAATGTAGTGCTAAATAGTTTGGAACTATCATGAGAAGTAATAGCTTTGTCAGTTGAATCGATTTCATCCTTGATGTCAGACATTGTATATTCCATTGGGGAAGAAAAATAATTTTATTTCTTCTTTAAGATTTTTTTGTAGAGTTTGAAATAATGTGTGTTTTTCATTTCATCAACTTCAGCTTTAATTTTCTTGACAAGTTTGTCAATTTCTCTGTGCCAGTCCTCCCCATGTTTTGTTATGGCTTTTGAGAGATCTCCATGTTCCTTTTCTAACAAACTCATTCTGTTTTGTACATCAGAGGCAATGTCCTGGTAGGTTGGATAAATGACCTCATTTACTTTGGTTACCTTGTCTTTTCTTTCATCTAGAACTTCCAATATTTCTGATAATTTATGACCTAAATGTTGATCAGATGCAATACACTTATTGCAAACAGGAAAGTTACAGTGTTTGCAGTACATTTTACATCGGCTTTTAACATGTGATGTACACTCTGGGTAGAGGGGTGTAGATTTTCTGTCCTTGAAATCAACAATTTTATGAGGTTTTGAGAGATTAGCAGAGAAGTGTTCTCCCACACAGGCCTTACACAGGTTGACAAGACATGTATCACAGTGCATCTGTACCACAGTGGTCTCACACAGGTCACATCGCATCACGTCCTGGGCACTGGTACGGGGGTCCATGATTAAACTTTTAACTCTGAAATATAGAGTTAGTGTGACACTTATAAGTCAGGTTATCTTACGAAAACTTAAATTTACTTTAACCTTGTGAACTATGTAACATATTGAACTCTGTTTTAACTTAATAAAGTAACAAATTGCTTTGGTAAATACTAATAATTTTTACACACTAAAATGATTTGTGTTGCATGATAATCAATTTTGATTTCCAAGTTGTTTCCTGAAAGACAGAGTGCCCTTTTTTTGGGGGGGGGGGGGGTAAGACTGAACAAAGAATTTCTTTTAATCATGCTATTTTCCTTGAACTTGGGTAAAGTTATACATTATCATCAGAAAGAGTAGTTCCATTATGTAGATAAAAAATACCCAATGTATACATTTTACAGCAAAACTGGTGATTGACAAGAGAGTCAAATGTCATTTCTCTATCTGGATCATACAAATAAAAATTGTTTGAGAAATAGCAATTCATTCTCACATAATATGTACCACACTTTTAAAAATCAGTTTATGTTCAGAACTATAAATTAAGAACTTCTCTATTTAGATCACGTACACTTTGTTGTATTTGTTATCTTGTTCTTTGATCATTACAGAGACCAGCCATTTTTTCCACACATACTTGAACCAATGACTCAGTTATAAAAATAGGACACAAATCATGTTTACATGAATTTCTAAAATTGAATTTTTAAGGAAAATATTAGAACTTACAATAATGCAAATGTTACAGAATCAAAGTTGATGTTACCTGACTTTTGATGGTAATGGCTGGTGTCCTATCGATCCTGTTGCTAAAAATACACCAGCTTGTGTATCTATATCTTTTATCTATGTCAAGTGACCCACATATCGTGTTTATACCTGTACAACCTTATTTTACTTCCTTGTAGAAGGGATTTAAAATTAAAATTACTACAAAGTCATGCATATTTTTTCTGCATCTTTTTCACGGAGATAGAGAAGATTAAAATATTGCAATAATATCCATTATTTTCAATTTGTTTTGAAGAATTAATATTACAAGTTATAATTTCAGGATAAGAGAAAGAATGAACTCTATGTGGATGTCATAGAAAAAATCACAAGTGTTATAAATGCTGATGTAAGTTTATCCATTTTTTTATTTCTTTTCAATTTGACTACTCTATATTTTAAACAATAGTAGTGGTACATGTACTCCAAAGAAAGTTGAGAGAATACAGTTTTACTTTGTAAATTCAAATGTCAATTGTAAATATCACATTAAAGCCACAAATTGTTATGACAAGCAGCCCTCATACATTAATATTTTTATATTCAAATTACTGAAATATATGTCTTATGAAAACTCTGGAACAACAGTCCATTTGCAAATTAACATTCTCTAATTTGAATAATTTTGCAATATCTTAAAAGAACTTAAGTTGATATTTTAACATATTGCATATAACATCCTTTGACAAAATGATTTCTACGTTATATTTTATTTATTAATACATGTAAAACCAGATTTCTATCTTTACAGGGGAGTGTTTCTCGTCTTGAGGTCAATGGTGCTATGAAGGTCAAAAACTTTCTCTTTGGCAGTCCTCAGGTCAAGGTCGTTTTAAACAACAACATCATAGTTCAACGAAATTCCAGAATTAAAGGTATGAAAGAAATACGCACGCTAACTCTCGATTCCCGCCTACATTTTGGAACCATTTTATTCAATATAAAAAGCAATTTGGCCATAAAAATCTTTGTTTAATATAAAGAACAGTTCAATGGTAATTGATGAATAGTCTTAATACCAGCGCTAAACAGTAAATTGTCCATAATTCCAGCTCATGAAAAAAGGGGGGTACACGATATTTTCCATTGAAATTGAAGTTTCAAGCATCACCATATTTTTAAATCGTCTTGGATGTGATCAAATGTTCCTTATATCTTTTCTTATGTTTTAGGCAAATAAATAAAACGTAAATATATCAATAAAATATTTTTCGTTTTCCGTTGATTTCTATAATAAAAAACACAAGTTATACCAAAATTTTAGAGTTATCTCTCTTTGTTTTCCCAAATAAGTAATGTTTTTTGAAAATCTATATAATTATCTATAAGAAATATTAAAAATTCATTGAATATGTTAACTTTTGAAAATTGACTTGGAGGTAGGCGGGAGAACAATGCTATCGTTCGCAGTTCTTTGAAACAAATAGAATATGGACCTTTAATCAATCAAGTTAATTTTTCAAGAGTGTTTGTCAATGCAGCTTCAATACATCTAAGCACTCTAATTCTCAATTTATGTCATTTTGTTAATTTTGTGATTACATTAATTAATACAGCTTATGGAGACAATGTCCAGTTAGATATATGTGTGTTCCATGAATCTGCCAAAGTGGACAATGTGGACACACCCAGTGTACTGACTATCTGTCCTAAGGTAGGAGAGGTGTGTATAATGTAACAGCTGATGTAACAATGTAAACACACCCAGTGTATTTACTGTCTGTCCTCAGAAAGGAGAGGTATGTAGACAGATAGCTAAGGTGACAACATGGACACACCCAGTGTATAGACAATGGAGAGGTATGTAGACAGATAGCTAAGGTGACAACATGGACACACCCAGTGTATAGACAATGGAGAGGTATGTAGACAGACTGCTGAGGTGACAATTTAGACACAACCACTTTATAGTGTATTGGCTATTTGTCCTCTATGGTGTCCCAATAGAGCCATTTGCATACATGTAGATATTACAGCACATTGTTCACAACATGCCGGTTTTAACTTTTGTTAGCACAAGGTGACAATTTGAACTTAAGGCACTTAGAATTTGTTCTTGGATTGGAGATATGAGTTATTGTATCAGACACAAGGTGACAATGTGGATACACTTAGTTAACTTACTATTTGTCCTCAGATAGGAGTAAGTCTATGTCAAAGAGAACTGATGTGACAATGTGGACACACCAAGTGTACTGACTATCTGTCTACAGATAGGAGAGGTATGTAAATGTCTCAAACAGCTGAGATAGGAGATGTAAGTCTGTTGTCACAGATAGCTGTTGTAACAATGTGAAGGTACTGAGAATTTGTCCTCAGATTGAAGGTATGAGTTATTGTATCAGACACAAGTTGACATTGTGGACACACCCAGTTTACTGACCATTTGTAAACAAAATAGGAGAGGTATGTTAATGTCAGAGATAGCTAAGGTGACAACGGGGACACACCCAGTGTATTGACCATCTGTCCTCAGATAGGAGAGGTATGTTTATTTCTCAAACAGCTGAGGTGACAATTTGGACACAACCACTGTATTGACTAATGCTCTCTATGGTGTCCCAATAGGGCTATTTACAAAAACATAACAGCACATCGTTCACAACGCACTGGTGTATTGTCACTTTCACTTGTGCGTTGTTACTTCACCAGCACATTATTAGATAAGGTAGTAGCTTATTGATCTGGATTACCAAGACCACTGTTATTTTATCTGTTGATTACTTTTCTACTTACAGTTTACATTGATGTCCTACTCGGTCAGTGGAGAAAGCAGCATTACCTCCCCTTTCCATTTTGTCTCCTCTGTCCAGCCATTAGAACACAGCAGGTCATATAACTGTATTTTGTCAATTTTAAAGCAGAGGAATTAAAAAAAAATATTAATACATGTTTTAGATGTTATGTAAAGAGTTGGAAGAATTTCTTTTTTTCAGTTAAATTTTTCAAGGGATATTTCAAGTTTTATACAAAACTTAGTACAAATGTACTACATTCTTGCAAGTCATCAATAAATTCATTTCATATTAATTCTATTCACAAAAAAATTCACAAAATCATTTTAATTTCTGAGTAACAATAAATATGAATATACCCTTTAACTGTATTTTTATACTATTTCAGGGATGTAATGGTTTGTCTGAGGATAAAGAACATGTTATCTGTAACCTCTGTCAACTTAAGACTGAAGTTTGGGGTCCCTCAATCTGTGTCTAAGTGAGTGTGTACAACTGAATACAAGTCTTTATAGTGATAAAATGTGAAATTAGAGGTAAGATTTATATCTTTAAATGCATGTATGACTGAATACTTTGCAACAAAAATTGGATGTATGTAGAAACCTATTAATTTTTAATTGATTTATTTGTATAATCATTGTTTACTTTTGAAAAATGCTTCAAGAATATTATACCCTCTATTTTTAATTGATGACTTTAGCATTTCTCAGCATCTAGACAGCTGTGAGCAAACAGCCACACTGGAAAAGACAGACAGTACTATTCTATGGAAATTAAAATCACTGGCTCCACATGCTGAATCTGTCGCTCAGTTTAGGGTAGGTCAAATCTGCATGATCCTTATATAATCTTGGTTTGAAGTACAATGTACATATGCATCAAAAAATTTTTTGCATCTAAACAGTTTATTGATGTGTGAATCAAAATTTTGCAAAGCAGTTTAACAAATCACAACAGATCATTCTACGGTGGCTGGTATAGGACATGGTATAAGATTTTTTTTTTATTAATTCGTGGCCACGAAATAAAAATTCGTGGGAAAGAAATTTTAAAAAATCGTGGACACGAAATAAAAATTCGAGGCCACGAAAGAAAGATTTGTGGCCACGAAATAAAATTCGTGGGAACGAAATAAAAATTCGTGGGCACGAAATATAAATTCATGGAAATGAAGTAAAAATTCATGGGAACGAAATAAATTCGTGTCCACGAAATAAAAGATAAAGAATCTAGTGTATTGACAGATCGGGTTCGTAATTTAGACGCCAGTGTGTGCATTGACGCTTGCGCTGATCTGCAGACAAAAAGCTGAGAAGATATGATATTTACATGTAGTTAAGCCTTTGTCCAGTGCATTTTTCAATGTATTTCACACATTTATTGCTATATGTTTCAAATAAATAGCTTTTTTAAGTCAATCACTCAATGTTTATTCAACAATCAGAGTTCGCCACTATTATCAGGAACGTGACATCTTAAAAATGAAAGCAATATCCAGATATTGTCATGATTGTTTTCACATAAAACTCAACTGTGTAATACACATGAAAGTGTGTGCTCTTGAATAAAGGTACATGTAATTGTATAGGAAAAAATGCGATGAACTAGTGAGATCAGTATTGATACTATTTATTTGTTCATCAGCTCTTCATGCAGTTAATTGGCAAAATCCAAATTTTAAATAATTAATGATGATTCAGGCATATTATTCAATACCCATAATGATTTTAAACAAAAATCCATTTGGCTCAGTCCAATTGAATGAAAATAATACATAATTCCGTTCATCTTGAATGACATACAAGAGAAGAAGCTAAAAATGACATTATATAGCCCAACTTTATTTCGTGGCCACAAATTTTTATTTCGTGACCATGAATTAATTTAAAAAAAACTCATACCATGTCCTATGCCAGCCACCGTATCATTCTGTTAAAACAGCAATTTGTATTCTGATTGGGTATAAAGAAGTGTAATTTTTTTTATAATCTAGAGTTTTTTTATATAAAGATTTTACTGCTTTGGATTATTAATGCGTTATCAGAAAAAAGTAATGTATAAAGTTATCAATTATAAAGTTACACTTCTTTTTCTACTCCATTCTTGTTTTTTAGTTGATTAGTCAAAGCGGTGCTCTAAAAAGGGAGGATGTTGGACCTCTAAGAATGGAGTTTGAAATTTCTGGTCATCTGCTATCAGGGATGAAGATAAAAACTGTGAAAATTGTGAATCAAGAGCAGACAACTCCACAGAAGTGGCTGAGATACATAACTGTCAGTGATTCATTTCTTGTCAAACTTGTGTAGTCAAGAAAATGAAGAGAAGATAAAGGTTTATAAGAAAAAGTGTGCAATTTATTTTTATTATAGCCTATTAAAATTACCTTTATTACTGCAATGTGTACAATTTGTTTTTGTCATACAATTTATTGAATTCAGCACATTTCAGGAAGTTTTCAAAATTTGACTTTTGTGGGGGCAAATGTTCAATATACCGCATATAGTTCTTTACATGTTGTAAAAATTTACGGATTACTGTATAGAGGAAAAATTCTCGCCCTGTTTTATTAGTTTACCTGACTGAAAGCTAAGTGAGCTTTTTTGATACCCGTTGTCCGTGTTATCTATAAACTTTTCACATTGCCAAACCTTTTCAAGAACCACTGGGCCAATTTTAACCAAACTTGGTATAAAGCATCCTTGGGTAAAGGGGAGTACAAATTGTTAAAATGAAAGGCCAATTACTAAAGGGGGAAAAAATAAAAAAAAAAGGGTGGGGTTATAAAAACAAAAATGGGCCACCTCACTCACCTGAGAAGCTTTGACCATTCAATTTGTAACCAGATTTCCCCCCTTGTAATACCTATTGGGGGCCCCCTAGTACTCCCGGGTCATAATTTGGACAATTTAAAATCTACACTACCCAGGATGTTTCCACAAAAGTTTCAGCTATTCTGGCTATGAAGTATTCTTAAAAGAAGATTTTTTAAATTATTTTCATAAATATTTCTATATGGTTTAATTTTACTTGTAACATGTCATTTATTGGTAAAAGATTTATCCATTTTGTGTAACATAACTTGCCTACATCACAATGAGTTATGTCAAAAACGTATTACTCCGCTTGACATTACTTTTAAAATTTAATCATTGTGAAACCTTTTTCTGGGAGAAAAATTGTCTCATTGTCTGCACTAAAATTAAATTATAAGGAATGAAGCTTATTTCAACTAATATTTATATAACAAAACTTGGGACAGTTTATGCTTTTTATAAACCGTTTGCGGTTTATAAAGTGTAAATTGTCCCAATTTATGTAATATCGTATAAAATAAGTTGAAATAAGCTTCATTCCTTAAGTAAAACTTTGATTCCCCATTGTGGCCCCACCCAACCCCCAGGAGTCATCATTTCAATAATTTAAAATCTACACTACCCAAGGATGCTTCCACATAAGTTTCATTTTTTCTGGCCAGTGGTTCTTAAAAAGAAGATTTTTAAGATTTCTCCTATTTATTTCTATATAAAACTTATTCATATTGTGGCCCAGCCCAACCCCTGGGAGTCATCATTTAAAAATTTAGAATCTACTTTACCAAAGGTTGCTTTGATATAAGTTTCAGCTCTTTGGGCTCAGTGGTTCCTGAGAAGATTTTTAAAGATTTTTCCTGTATAAATCTAAGTCAAACTTTGGTTCCCCCTTTGTGGCCCCACCCAACCCCTTGGGTCATGATTTGAACAATTTCAATCTACACTACCCAAGGATGCTTTGATAAATATAAGTTTCAGCTTTTCTGACCCAGTGGTTCTTGAGAAGAAGATTTTTTAATGACCCCACCCTATTTTTGTCTTTTCTTGATTATATCCCCTTGTGAGAGGACCAGGCCCTTCATTTAAATAATTTGAACTCCCCTTTACCCAAGGATGCTATGTACAAAGTTTGGTTAAAATTGGCCCAGTGGTTCTTGAAAAAATTTTGGAAATGTGAAAATTTTACAGACGGACAGAGAGACGGATGGATGTGATCAGAAAGCTCAATTGAGCCTTTGGCTCAGGTGAGCAAAAAATCTTTTTCAAGAATCACTGGGCCAGAAAAGCTGAAACTGCATCCTGGAGTAGAGTAGCTTCTAAATTGACCCCTATGGGGTATGGCGGGGTCACAAAAAGGGAATCTTTTTACATTGAAATATATAGGAAAAATCTTTACACATCTTCTTCTCAAGAACCACTAGGGCAGAAGTTCTAAACTATGTGAAAATATTCTGGGTATATTTTATATAGTATAGATTTTCCATTCTCCAAATAATGATCCCTTGGAGTAGGGCAGTGTCATAATTGGTATTACAAAGGGGAAATCTAAAGAATAGTATGACCAATGTTACTCAGGTGAGCGATGTGGATGGGCCTTTTGTTTTTGCCCCTTTCGCCAAACTTTCAATTTAAAATGGGGCAATTCAAAGAACCAGTATAATTTCTAAAAACAAAATTGTGATTGGGCAAATTTAAAACGGGGCAAAATTGTTTGCAAGTGTAAAGGGCGAAAACAACCCTGTATACAGTATTTTGTATTTTCCTAAATATTTTTATCATAGCCCGTACGTATTTTTGATTGGTATATTGTCATTATTAATTTCATATTAGCACAAAGTTAACATTGTACAGCGCTTAAAATCTCTTTATGATGTTGCACTTTATAAATTTATAAAATATTAATAGTAATAACTTAACATGCAGATTATTTGTTTTATTGTTAACAAATGATTTGAATCTGTCAACTTAAGTGATATGTTTTTAATATATACATGTATATATGTTTTTACAAAGTTGTTAAACAAACAAATAAAGTGTCAAAACCCCTCTATTTGAAGACGACAAACTCATTCAAGTAATGCAGCTTAACATTTTCATGAAATGAATTTATTATTATTTTTTTAAATTTTAACACTTAAGAACGCTAAATTATGAAACTTTCATAATCTGCATAATGTTCATACAGATTTTAAAATGATTGACTTCAAATCACTGTAGATATTTGATTTTCTCCACTTGTGATTTTCTACACAGAGCAACAAACAAATTGTCATTTGTATCTGTACACAGTCCCAGGGGTTCAATCGGTCCACAGTCTATGTAACAGAGGAACTGCCCATCTTGGCCTATGATGTGGACACAGGTATTGTTAGAATCAGCTGTAAGGATGTGACTCTGGCTGTCTGTGGTATTCCTTGTGGATTGAATGGTTTGTTCTTTGGAGCAGGAGTATCTCCAGTGTACCTGAATCTCAGTTTTCCCGGCCTGATTGACCACCACTACTGCTCCATCTCGACTATCGGAAACACAGATATCCAGGTTCCTGTTCTCAGTGATATATCTTTTATATCTACCTGGTGAAAAGAGAGGTTTACCATTACCATCAATTTGAATGCTTTGTTTTTCAGTGGAAAACCCGAGTAATAGACAACTTTTGTTTGTTAGTAATCATTACTGTCCATGATTACCAGGAGGTCACCAGATGAGGTACTACAGATACCTTTAGGTCTCAAGTTTTGTAGTCTGATCACCTCCTCTATCTTCTCATTCTTTACAATGTTCACAGTTTTATCATCATAATCAGTATAAACTAGATCTCCATTTTTTGTCACTGCTATATCACATTGCCAATTCCCTGACTTGGTTGTGATTGACTTGAGCAGTGATCCCTGACTGATGCTGTAGAGTGTTATGGTGTTGCCATATCCACGTGTCCAGATTTTTTCATCACTCAGACAGGCCACATTGTAAAGTTCTTTATACCAAGTGTCTATGGTGGTGACAATCTCTGGTTCATCAAGCAGCTGTTTGACTGGTGGAGAGTATTCAGCTTCTGGTGATTTCTGTACTGTCTTCATGCTGTAGTCGTACTTTCCTGTAGATGAGGAAGTTAAGGATAAAGCTCCAAACAACGTACTCAGTTGCTGTCCATTTACTCTTCCTTGAGTGAATGTAGTTGAGGAGGGAACAATTTTATGTGGTAGCTGCTTATACTTATCTACATTGAATGTATTGCTAAATAGTTTGGAAATATCACGAGAAGAAACAGCTATATGAATTAAATTGATATCTTCTTTGATTTCCAATATTTTCTTGTTTATTTCATCCAGATGTTTCTGTAGAATTTGTTACTGTGTATTTTTCATTTCATCACCCTCAGCTTTAGGTTTCTTGACGCGTTTGTCAATTATTCTGTGCCAGTCTTCTCCATGTTTTATTATTGCAGTTGAAAGATTTTCATGTTCTTTTTCTACATCAGAGGCAATTTCCAGGTAGATTGGAAATATTGTTTCATTTAATTCAGTTTGTTTTTTCAATAGCATGTTTTTCTTTCATCCAACACCTGCAATATTTCTGATAATTTATGACCCAGATGATTTTCAGATGTAATGCACTTGGTGCAAACTGGAATGTCACATTCATTGCAGTACACTTTATATCGTTCTTTATCATGAGAGGTACACCCGGGGTAAAGAGGCGTTGATAATCTTTCCTTGAAGTCCACAATTTTATGAGGTTTTGAGAGATCAGCAGAAAAGTGTTCTCCCACACAGGCCTTACAGAGGTTGACAAGGCATGTGCCACAGTGCATCTGTACCACAGCGGTCTCACACAGGTCACATCGCATCACATCCTGGGCACTGAGGCGGGGATCCATGATGAAACTTGCAACTCTAGAGTGGAAGTGAAAACTTAGTTTAGTATAACTTATTATGTAAACTGATGGAAAAATGAAAATGTACATGAATAATAATTGTCCCCAGCTTTCAGGAAATTGAAAGAATATTAAACCTTAACCAGCTGTAGGTCTATCACAAAAACTTTGAACTTTGAATTGAGAAAGAGTAGGACTTTCATATTTCACATGTGTATTATATAATGTACATGTGGCAAGACCTTTCCATATGCATTAATTTTTTTTGTCCCTTAATATATGTAACTGAACTTAAATTTTGACCTCCTTTTAAAAAAATTGTACATTGTTCATAACTTTTAAATGAGAAAAGATAGATAGGCCTTCATATTTTACAGTGCATTCAATAATGTGACAAACCTTTCTAAATGCCCTATGATATTTGACATCATGACCTTGAAAATCGATTAATCAAAACAATAAAATTAGTCAAAACTTTTCAATTAGTAAAGATAGGCTCTAAATTTCACGTACTACAATACTTTTCAGAAAGTAGTATAACTATTTACCACATGACCTTGATGTAAAACTCTGATTCACTCATCATTAACTTTGTACATTGGTCCAATCTTATGCACAAAAAAATTTTCTAGGCTTTCACATTTTTTCATGATTTTAATTTATGAGTTGAGGCCATGGTCTTAAATTAATGCCATTCAGATTTTTTTTTTTAAATTTTGGAC